TTTTTTTTTTTTTTTTTTTTTTTTATATACGCCAAACGTTAAACGCGCTGTCGTACTGTCACGGGATGATGCGCGTGAAAAATGAAAAGAGACGGTTGCATATTCGTTTATTTATTTTATTTATTTACTTTTACTTGCTATTTTTGTTTTTGGCATACCGAAGAGAGGACAAAGATCGAATTAACCGCACGTCACAATCATTGTATTATTCAATACTTTGCTGATTGGTCACGAGTTAACTCATGTTTGCGCTTACAATTGGTTTATGCAATTTTTAAGCCTGAATTTTGGCTTGAAATAGCCGAGCAAAGTGTTAGGTTTGCGCACGCAGACATGGGTCTCCCAGACCTACTGAAAAATTGCGCGCACGGAGAGTAATTGTTTTAAAAACGCTTACATCCTCAAAACTACAAAATTTCCAAAAGAGATTTTTTTCCAGTTTTTTATCGACGCGGAATCGTTCAAACTTTCGACTAAAAAAAAACAAAATTGAAAAAATATCGATTTTTCGCGGAGATAGATTCTAAAGATAGATTCGATTCTAAAGTCGCGTTGGATGTCACAGATCTAGTCTATCCAACTTGTAAGTCATTTTTATAATCTATTTACGAAAAGATAAGAGATATAAAAAGAACATTTATGTATTGGTGAACGATAGGATTCGACGAAACTTCGGGAATTCTTTGTTTTCCGGAACCGACAGATAACTCTCTCCTCCTGTGTATCTTTTTCCGTTTCTTTCTTTCTCCCCTCGCTCTCTTCTTCCTGCTTCTTCTTCGCTTTCCTCCCTCTGGAGACACGCAACAAACGGCGGGTTCAACGAACTCGGGATGACGTGACACTGCCATGTCGGGAATTTATTATCTGAGTCCGTTGTCCAATGACCCTTAGCTGGTTGTTTTTTTTATTTCTCGCGGCGCGCGCCGCGATTTGAGTGCGTTTCTTGGCTTAGGAAACTCTATGACGATGTTAGAAATCGGTTCGAGATCTCGGTCAGAGAGAAAAAGTGACTAGAGAATCGCACTCGTGCCTGGGGTCGTTGGGGAAACTCTAAAACTCCGAGATGTCGCGAAATCGCGGACCGATTTCTATGACATCTCGCGAAAAGCGTCCCTTTAGTAGTTTCCTCCTCCCGATTTAGCGCTCGGGGAGGGGAAATGGGAGAGAAAAGAGGGACAAAACTGGGCTTCTCCCCGGTCACGCACGTTGTCGCGCGGTCACGAATGACGTAACCCGTGCCGTGTTGTTGTCGATTTTTCGCGAGATGAACGTTTGTCACGCGTGACTCGCGTATCGTCACGGCCGAAGCAAATGCACCCGTGCGCTTTGCGCAAGTCTTATCTCGTTCCGGGTTGGGTTACCGTATTATTATCTTCTGTGCGACGCGAGCGATAAAACGCCGGATAGAGAATTCGGTCGACAAATGAGAAACGATATGACGACGCAATAAATCCCCCCGGCTGAGATGTTTTGAGTCATCGAAATTTACGCCGTGTGTTCCGAATGTGAATCACTTCGAGTAACTATACTTTTATCAATTGTCTTTGATGAATAAAATAACAATTTGAACAATAAATTTTTAAGAAACGTCGTTAGAAAACGAAAGAGAGAAAGAGAGAGAGAGAGAGAGAGAAAGTAGACGAGAGCAGGTGAGAAGAGAATTTTCCATCGCGCACGAGTCTCGTCGGCGCTGCAAAACGCAATTTCTCGGCGTAACGCACGCCAGACTTAATTGCTTGTCGCGGAATAACTCCCAGGAGACGTCATTGTTATTATGAAGCTCGGGACACACACACACACTCTCTCTCTCTCGTGTGGTCGAACAAACGCCCTGTCTAGAGAAACCCACGTCACCTCGCCGTTTAACGACTCCGCGCGAATCCCACGACGGTATAGACCGCCGAAATTCACAGCCGTCTCGACACCCGCGCGCTAAAGTGAACTTTTACGAGATACTCGTGAATATTTCGCGGAACGTTAAATTTGAATTAATCTCGCGCCGCCGTGTCCCATGTTCTCCCTCCCCCTCTCTCTCGCGATAAAAGCGTCGCGACGTACTGTCCACTCGATTCTTTTGTTTTTTTTTTCCTTTTTTTTTTCTTTTTTTTTTTCCACCGGCTTTGCATTGTGCGGCTATCTAGATCTGGGGGAAACCATAATTAGCACGTTTAACGCCGACGATAACTGACTACGTAGTTTCGCTCGCGGAATCTATGCTAATGTTTTTTAACCGACACAACCACGCGCAAAAACCAAGAGGTTCTATAAAAAGCGAAGCGCGCGCTAATAGTCGTGCGCGAGATAGTCTTGATGTTTTATAACAAGTCGCGTATCGAGAAGTCGCATCGCAAAGACCTCGTCGGAAACTTGGATTCAGGTCGCTGTTTTTCTCACACTCGGAAAAAAAAAGAAAAAAGTTTTGCCACATTATGTGGTTGGCAAGAAAACAAATTTGATTCGAATCTACCGAATTTTCGTTTTGTTTCGACGAAATTTTGGCGAAACAAAACCAAAATCCAGTTTTTCCTCCTCCCCAAATGTTTCGTTTTTTAATCTACGATTTGAGACATTTTGTGTTTTGTTTTCTGAAAAAAAATGGATTTGCATTTGTTCGCAGAGTGGAAAGCTCAGCGCTGCAGTTGGTGTGCCCGCTGGATTCTCGTCCGGTGCAGCTAATCTTCCGAGGATTGCAGGTGGTCAAGGAGAAGCGAGCGCTTCTTCGCGACGTTTCGGGAGTCGTCAAACCCGGCGAATTATTGGCCGTTATGGGCCCCTCAGGTACGAGCTCAACGTCCATCCGTTTCTCGCATCGAGGAACATGCCCCCGAGGAACATCATCTTGTTTTAAATTCTAATCAAACAAATTGATCCAACTCTCTTCGGAGAGAGAGAGAGGAGACTTTGTACTCGTAACTTCGGAAAATTAGCGTGCAACGTCTTCGCGCGCACGTCACGGGTAACGAGCGCTAATTGCGATTTGTAGCTTCGCGTCCGCGCCCCCACGTTCCCGCAATGGCAGTTTCGCCACTCTTTCTCCTCCCTTCCCTCGTTCCGACAACGCAATTACGTGTCGCGCGAATACTTCGCCATATTTTACATTATTTCTTGCGAATCTTAATCGCACGCGGCGCTGCGCCGGACGCGTCGCGTGGAATTAAGTCGGCGTTTCTATCTTTAACCGCTTTTATATGCGCTCGGCAGCGAAATACACACCGGTCGGCAATTTCTCGCTCGGCTCTCTCGAATATTTATTATCGCCGCGTGGCCGAGTAAGTCCGAGTTTGCGATCGTTTTCGACGCGTCGTCGTCGTGCGCGCGCGTTGTACTTACGCATTTTCGTGCAAAAATTCATCGATCTTCGTTACGTTACGAATTTACGACACGACCAAGCTAGGTCTCGTAAAATTATCGAGAAATCGAACACACTGTATTTATTTATTTTTTTTTTTTTTACATATCCGTTGTTTCGAAAACTAACGACACTCTCGCGCGCGCGTAAAGCGAGTTTTGCGCAACTTGTACGTGACACTGACGCGACGATACGCGAAAGATATATATTTGTTGAAACGAAAACAAGCTTGTACAACAAAATCCGAAGAGGTGTTAAATTTTTGCCTGACACGTTTGTTACGCAGGCTGTGGTAAAACAACACTGCTGAACTGTTTGTCCGGCCGTGTTGGCGTGGACGCAGGCGATATCTGGCTGAATCGCGAGAGGCTCACCAAACGGTGGCGCAGAAGAATCTGCTACGTACAACAGCAGGATGTTTTTTTTCCCGATCTCACTTTGCGGCAGACGCTCGAGGTGAGTTTTCGATATGAATAATTACACACATCACAAAATTACGAACTCTACAGTTAAACCTTCGTGGACTGATTTTCAAAAATGCCTACTAGTTGGACCGACTGGGTCTGTGAGGCCCACGCTGCGACTTTACAATTAAACATCTTCGCGAAAAATTGAACGATTCCGCGTCAAATAAACAAAATTGAAAAAATCTCTATTAGTTTCGTTAAAAAAAAAAAACTAATTTTTTCTAGGAACACCGATGCGCAATTTCTGAATGGGTCTGGGAAACCCATGTCAGTTCACGAAGGGTTAAATTCCAAATACACGCGACACCAGAATAAAACCAATTCACACGTGTTGCAGATATTTAAAATAATTATGAAATAATCAAGTAATTATGTGTTAAAGAGTTATTATAAGATTTTTGTGGAGGAGCAAGTAACACAAATTTCTCGGATCTCGGGGATTGTGTAATCGCCGTCCGAGGGAAATAACGAAAAGGAGCACGTTGTAAACAATCGCGGTGGATGCATTTCTGTACCAGCGTCTCGAAAATAAGAGAGAGACGCAAAACGTGCGCGTATAACGTCACACGTTTCCTCGTTTTTCCACGAAAATCCGACAGCCCCGCCGGGGCGTGCCAAGTGTGTGGCGGCCGTGGTGCGGTCGTGTTGCGTGCGCGCGCGCCTTTCACTCGATATTCATCACGACCCACGCGCCTCGATAGACGGGAATTAGGAGGACACCCTGTACGCGCCAAGATCGCGGGGAATGCAAATGCGGGCTAGAAGCCAATGCACTCTACTATATCTACCGCTCCGCGGTGCACTTGGGGGATTTAAGTCCGCCTCGCGGAAAACGAACGCGGACGAAGATACGCACGCTTTGTCGTTTATCCGCTAATTGAATAAATATGTCGGCGCGCGCGCGTGTTCGGGAAAAAAAAAAAAAATAACGGGACATTTTTGAGAGAAAGAAATTTAACGCGCGCGCAAGGGAGCGTTCACGACGGAGCTTCGTTACGCTCGACGTCGTCGCGTGGTATTTCGAGCGCGCGAGTGTGTCGAAAGAATTCGACTTAAAATTCAATCGATCGGCCGGCCGAACCGAGCAGAGTAGAAAACCAGCTCTAACCCCGTCGAGATAAAACTTTCTATGTCTCTCTCTCTCTCTCTCTCTCGGCTCATTAAAGTCACGTATGACAGGCGAGAGGGAGAGGCGTTGTATCACGTGCGGCGCCCACTTGCGCGCGGCGCGTTACCTACGCGGCACGCGCGTGTCACACGCGAAACGGCGACGCATGTACACCGATATACGACAAGCCGCGCGCGGCTCTCTCGCAACGGAACCATCGTGTGTTCGTCTAGTCCGCAACCCGTTAACGGGGAACCGTGGAACTGGGGGCCGATTGTGGTGCGCCCGGGGAGAGACAGGGGAGCCGTATCGCCTCGCGGTGACGTCATAACTCGGTCAGTGAACCGCTCTTAGTTTGCTCGCTCGCTCGGTTGCTCTCGCGCGTCTTTACGGTTTCAAAAACATTTGGCGCCTCCTCTATATACACGCGCGCGTTATAGACGCGCAAAACCACGACGCAGTTATAGCTCGTTCCTTTCAGCCGCGGGATGACACTTTCTCTCCCGGACTAGTCACCTCTCCTCGTCGACCACTTCCTCTCCCTTTCCGCGCCGCGGTCTCGCTTCTATTATCTACGAGGAAATTGCGTTCCGCGTTTAACAAGCGCGAGCGAGCGAGCGAGCGTGCGCGCTTGTTAGGAAATTTCGTCGGAATAATCCCCGCTGTACTACTTCCCTTCTCGGGGTCCCCGTTCGGTTCATTCGGCACGTCTCCACGGAAACTGACATCAATCTTTTTTTTTTTTTCCTTCGAACACAGGCGACGCGGAGCTGTTTTCTGATACCAGCGGCATCGGCAAAATACGACACGAGAATTATCGGATGTTCGTTAACATGTAGAGAAAAAAAAATTCAACATTGTCAACGCGAGTTATCAATATCAGAAGTTAAATGTCACGCTTTTTGCGCATAAAAAGTTTAAATAAGCGCAGCATCCGCAGCACGCGGGGGAGATAGTTCGCATCGCGAGAGATACTCTTGTTTTTTTAATGTTTTTCTTTATTGATTACAATTTTCTCCCCGATCTGAGATTTTTTTTAATTTTCTAAATTGAATGAAAAACTCTATTTTACAACCGGATGCGTGTGTGTGCAAAAGTAGTTTCCTATTATCTCTCATTCGAGAGTGAGATATAAAAAGAATTCGACTGTGATATTGAAAACAAAGGAATCGAGCGTTTTTATCGAAAAACGATTCGGTAAACAAACAACAATATCTCTTTACTTTCATGTGGGATAAACCGTTCGACGGGAAAAAGAACGGTTGACTCTTCTGCGGTCCAGTTCTATAGCCGGGTATCGTCGGTTATCTTTATTTAGACATAACTGGTGTTCCCGCGAGCACAATATCATCAGCCGCACTTTCTCTCTCCGCATAACGGGCCCCGCTTGTGTAACGGCACGAGGAGAATGAACGTTGAGAAACGGCACGTCGTCGTCGTCGTCGTCGGTCGGTCGGTCGGTCGGTCGGTCGGTCGGTCGGTCGGTCGGTCTCTATATCCGTACGCGTGTAGCGGCTGTTTGATTGTGATATAAAGAGTAATCCATAACATCGCCGCATCGAATTCCGATGACACATTCTTGAACGCGCTTGGAATCGAAATATTGTTCACGCAATAAGGGACTTTAATCGCGCGCGCGCGGGAACTTCGCTTCTTCGAAAATTCTTCGACATATTTTTCAGTATGCGATTTATTGTTTTTTTTTTTTTTTTACATTAATTGTTGCTTTAAATAAATTATATATAAATTCGTAAATTAATAATTTTTAATATGCAAAAACAAACACATCAAATAAACACAGAGATTTTGTTCTTCATTGTTTTTCTTCTTTATTTCACTTGTTCAGAAACAATCGATAGAAAAAAAAAAAAAAATGATAAAATTCAATTTTCAAACATTTCGTACACGGAAAAAAAAGGTTTTCTGTTATAAAGCCAGTAAAGAACAATTTGCTGAGTTTGTCAAATTTCTTGTCGACAAGAAATTTAACCAAGCTTGAAACATTTTCTTGATAATCATGTAGCAACATCTTGCTATTCCAGCAAACATTTTTTCTCGTATGTGCATAACAAATTGTAAGAGTGACGCATGTAGAACACACTGTGTACACGTGTGTGTGTAGGTGTATACATCTCTGCCCACGTGTATAACGGTATAATATAAATATCTACTCGATAGCTCGTGTGTGTGTTTGTGTGTGTGTGTGTTATATCGATGCTTCATCGTCAAAGTTTCTTACATTCAGCGTATAATTCTTTCTCTCTCTCTCTCTCTCTCCCTCTCCCTCTCTCTCTCTCTCTCTCTCTCTTTCCTCTTTACTGTTACTGTCACTACTAGAATGTAAATATTTTATTAGCTCGAAAAGCGAGCAATTATCTTCCCAGACGGTTCTGACAGCGTTGCCCTCGCGATAATATATCCATCTAACGCGAGAGCACTGGCGACGCGTGAGTACCTACTCTCGAATTAACGAACTTCCAGACGCCTTTCCGGGATAAAAACAGCCCGCGGGTTTCGCAATCGACGCGTCATCGTAATTGACTTAACGATCCGGGATTATGACGGGCGCGCCCCCAAACGCGCGCGGCGCGTTAGTATATAGAGCCGGGCCGGGGTAATAATAGTACAAAGTGGCCTGGATATGTATTACGAAACGGAAATGCATCCACCGCCGTGCGCTGCGGTGCCGAGCGCCGGCATGCACTTTTGTTTACATTGCTGTTTAATGCCCGCACGCGGCCCGACGGAGCGCGTAAAACCGGGCCGCGCGCGCGAGCAATTTTCAGACTGTGATATCGTATTAAAACACACACACACACACACACACACGTATGTACGAACACCTGCATCATGCGAATTGCATCGCAATTTTGCAGTACCAGGCGCGGCTCAGGCTTCCGGACACGCTCTCACACTCCCAGAAGATGCAGTGCGTGGACCATATCATCGAGGTTCTCGACCTCGCGGCCTGCCAAGACACCAGTGAGTACGACCGGCGGTCGTAAAGCCGAAAGACGAACGCCGATACACACGATGCCGATACACGACGGTTTTAGACGCGGCGGCGAAGTCAGTTTGGATCGCGATCTGAAGATTTCTACTCCGATCGTAATTCATCTTGATTCTCGGCGGAGTCGTAAAGCCACCGTTTGCCGCGCGGTACATATACGTCCGCGCGGTGTAAACAACGACGATACGCGGCCGCGCCGGCTCCTCTTTCTCTCTCGCGCGATCTTCGAAGCGGTCGTCTCTTCTCCGCAATCTAATGGGGCGTGTTCGACCGGCGCGAGTTGCCTCTGCTTCACGTTCGCTCCGCGAACGCGATTGACTTCAACATATATAACCCAATTTCAGCGGTCTCTTCGGTTCCGTAAACGCGAGAGAACGTAAAATAAAATTCATACGCGTACAATTTTTGGGTCTTTTTTTTTTTTTTTTTTTTTTTGTTCCGCACGGTGGCTATTTTTGGCGAAATTAAAGCTAAAATAAAAGAGAGACCGGTCGAAATATATTTCATCCGCACGTAACGCATTGTGCAATGCGCGCGCGGATTTTGTTATGTCCGTCCTGTATGTATCGCTTCGCTCGGCCGTGTCGAAGCCGAGAATGTAACGGAAGCGCGCGGCGGTGGCATTTTCCGGAATACAAACGAGAGAAAGTACGGATACACGTATCGCGGCGAAGTGCCGGGCTTATTGTGTCGGTCGGTTGTTGATAAAACGGTTTTCTCGATCATTAACCTCTCGCGAGCTTCTCGCGACCGCGCCTCGGCTGTAGTTGTGTTTGTGTGACGTAAAATATCATTCTCTCTGCGCGCATAATAATATCATGTTTCGTTTCTCTTCCTACTTACATCTCGAAGGCGCGTGAACGCAACCGATGGAAACGAGACGAAATCAATAATCTCGCGCGCTCGGCGGACGTAAAAACACAAATTGTTATATTTATTCAAAAAATTATAGAAGTATCGATTTTTCGTGAAAAATCAAGCCCCGTATAATTGATAATACCGATAATTTTTTAATCTTAACGTGCTTTGTATTTTTGTTAAATTGTATATGTTGAATCAATAAAGTCACATTCTCCTGCGTAGTTATCGGAGATTACACGAAACGAGGACTTTCTGGCGGTGAAAAGAAGAGGACGAGTATAGCCTGCGAATTACTCACGAATCCATCGTTAATGTTACTTGACGTAAGTTTCTCATTGCATTTTTCATATATTATTAACTTTTTATACATAAAATATTGCAAATTTTCTCACTTCTAAGCCGATTTTACACATTAGTTTTTTTATATTGTATTTTTTGCTTTTTATATTTTTTTCTTCAAAAAAACTCGCAGAAGCTTTTCTATGTCGCGATTTGTACATTAGTAAAAAAACGTCCAGTCATTCAAGATTCTAATCACGACGTGGCCATCAAAAAGCAACGCTGTGCTTGTTAATTTGTGGAACGTTGTGCAACCTTTTTTTTTTCTTTTTTTCTTTCCAGGAACCCACGAGTGGACTCGACTCGCACTCGGCACAGGCATTGATCTCGCGGTTAAAGAAGTATGCCGAACAGGAGGGCAAAAGTATCGTAGTGACGGTGCACCAACCTAGTTCCAGGATGTTCCACAGTTTCAGCAAACTCCTCCTCCTGAGTCGCGGTCAGGTAGCGTACTACGGTTCGACGGCGAATATCAGCAGATTCTTCTCCACGATAGGGCTTACGTTGCTGCCGAATTACAACCCCGCAGACTTCATCCGTAAGTGCACTTTGCTGGCGTCAAATCTGATTTCGCGTTCAGACGAAACTTACGAACAAAGTTTTATTCAACAAACAAATTGTTCTTCACACTTTCTTCCTCATATTAGACATTTGTACAAATTTGTGCGATTTGTATGTGTGTGTGTAATAATTAAAATAAAATAATTTTCTACCTCAGTAATTTTAATGTTTTTTTTTTGTTTTTATTATACGAAGTACACACACATATATATATATATATATACATATATTTTACTTGCGTGTGTGTCACAACGTTTATTTCAGTGGAACAAATAAAGGGACCGGAGGAGGTTCGAGAGCGCATCGTTGCCGCGGCGAAGGCAGCAAGACAGGGACCTGACTGCCCACCGGAACTTCGTACGGACTATAATCCCAGCCAACATCCGCTCTCCGACCATCTCTTCCATTATCACGAGCACCACATCAGCCACAACGGTATTATATAGTATGCAGCCGCCCCACGATATACGTATTTATATGTATGCGCACACCTAGACAATCCGTCGACCGCAGGCGGGACCGTTGCGGCTCTGATATGCGACCGGTTAAAAGCGGAGAGATAAAATATATCTCGCATTCGATCTATCGGCACACTAGTCGCGGTGTTTTTTTTTTCTCCCGAAAACTTATTTGTTATTTGAATTCTCGTCATTATTGATACAAGACAAATTGATAACTGGACGAATCTGAGAGTTGAGATTTACGATTGGTTTTGATCGGATTTACATTAGTTTTGCGCTCTCTTACATACATGTATTGTCTCGATAAATAAACAATAGAGATCGCTTTGAAGTCGACTTTTTTTAAACGGATAATATTGAAAGATGCTTACAGTCAATTAATTCTACGCAGACAGACATAGGTCTCTCAGACCCACTCAAAAATTGCGCATCGGTGTCTCTGGTAAAAATTAGTTTTTTTTTTTTAACTTATATCTGGGACGCAGAATCGTTCGAACTTTCGATTAAAAAAAAAAAAAAGAAAAAATATTGACTTTTCGCGGAGATATTCGATTTTAAAGTCACGCGGGTCTCACAGAGACCCAGTTTGTTTAACTAGTAGGTCTCATTTTTGTGATCTGTCACACACAAAGGGTTTAAATTTAATTATGCCAAACGCACAATAGTTTTCTTTTTTTTTCTCTTCTTTAAAACAACTGCTTTTGAATCAGCGTATTTATCTGCAACGATGAGATTCTCTCACAAAGTAATCTAAACATCCATTTCTCCGTGATGTGCTTTAGTGAAGGAAGACGAAGGCCGTACGTTATGGTTGGACACACAAAGCCACGCCAGCAGCAGCGCGAGTTCTGCTGATGACGACTATTCCTGGCAATGGCCCACCAGCTTCTGGTCGCAGTTCAAAGTGAGTACACACGCTTTCGCGTACGAATGTAGTCCAGCAATTGCAGGATACAATGCCGTTCTCTCCTCGCTCGCTTAAGTTCGTTCTTTATCCTTATATTATATTCGAGTTCCCAACGACAGTTGACACAATATTCAACGTTTGTACGTAAAGCGAGAGACACAGAAAATGAGTGAGAGAGAGAAAGAAAGAGAGAGAGAGAGAGAGAGAAAGAGAGAGAGAGAAGCAACGAATGTGTGCGCGATTGCACACAGAGCGGTAGAGAGAATAAAAATATAAAAACTAATATAAAATATAAAATATAAAACTAATTCGCGATAAAACACAAATATACCGTGCGATATCTTCGGTAGGAGCGGGGCTGTAGTTGAGCTACTTTTTATCGATCTTCACATAATTTTGATAAATTAATGCGAATTGTTTTAAAAGATAGCGCATAACGTGCCACAACTAGATAAATATTTATCTAGTTCAGAGAGAAATAAGCACTCATAGATTCTTAAACTATATTGCGAACATTGATAAAAATGTATGTTAAATAAAAAAAAAAAGATAAAGCATATATATATATATATATATATATCGGGCGATTCCGAGAGATATAAGTTGAGAGACATTTATCTTAAATTTTTTGCAACAGACTAAAATCCCATATACGCGATTTATCGAGATATGACGCAGTATTCTCACATCATTTCGCGAAAGAGAATTCTCTGTTGTTCTACGTCATTCGTCGCGGGCGCCGCAATTAACGTATGCAACTAGACTAATGCGTAATCGGGAATATTGCTTATTTCTCCGCGAGTCTCTCTCACGCGAAGGAGAGACGCGTCATTCCCGTTGTCGTGGGTGTGAATCGGCAGCCGAGAGAGAATCGCGCGCGTTCCGCGCGCACGAGGGAAGAAAGAACAAGCGCGCGTGCATAAATGTCATCAGAAAAGAAGACCGGCCGAGTATAGAGAGAGAAGAGAACTAGGTCGCGTTTGCGCGATTCGCCATATCCGGATAATTACCTCGCGCCGCGAAGACCGATATGTCCGTTTGTAATCGCGCTTTGCCGTACGCGAATCACACCGCCGCGCGGCTTAACTTGCGTCACTTTTACCGTGTGGCGGAACCACGCGTTCTTCGCGGCCTACGGTAGCGTCTTTCTAACCACCGCGTCTCGCCTTGTTTGTTTCTCTCTCTCTCTCTCTCTCTCTCTCTCTCTCTCTGTCTGTCTCGCACACGCCAAGCGCGTTCAAGGCTTGATATATTCCATCTACGATTATTTATGTCGAACCAAGGAGATATGGTACATAAATTTCGTTCTCTTTGTTCGCCGATCTGACACGCTGGGGAAACAAAACACACACACACACACACACAACACACCGGAGTTAAACACCGAAAATTAGCCTTTCCCGCGACACCCTGCGCGCACGTAATACCGCCGCGCGGCGGTTATTGTTCAAAAAGACCTTCGAAACTAGCATTGTGAAACTTCGCGTTCTATTTTCTCACGGACGCTGATATATAATCGAGGCGTTCCAAAGGTATACTAAACCTGTAGCAGCGTACCTGTATATCAACATCATTGTCGTTAATTATAAATCTAACCGCGTGAATCTACTTTTTGTATTAAAAAAAAAAAAAAAAAATCTCATCGCGTAAGAAACGAAACACAAAAAGTTTACGTCATTTTTAATATTTAATTTTTCAGGTATTATCGGAGAGAAATTTTCAAGAGGCGAAACCGCGGATGTTGTCGCGTTTGAACTGGCTGCAAACGATAGCTCTAGGAATATTGGCCGGGCTTTTGTGGCTGAGGCTTCCCAGAACCGAAACGGCTCTCCACGACATCCAAGGGTGGATGTTCTTCAGCACCACGTACTGGATGCTCTTCGCGCACTTCGGAACTCTCACCAGCTGTGAGTTGAATTTAATTCTCTTTTGCGCGATGAGAAATTGCGACACAAAGGCTAAAATATATATTCATTGTGCCCCCGAGAGAGACTGATTATCTCTCGACACACAATACCTGCATCAATGCGCGGGGGCTTGCGAGCGCGAAATAAAACTCGCGGTAAAATTAAACTCGCGCCAAACCGACGAAATATAATTTTTTAACGACGCGCTCTCGAACGGAAAAAGTAATTACGTTGAGGTTTTTTTTTTTTTGTTTTTCGTCAATTAAAACGCTTATGCGCGAATTAAGCTCGAAACGCTTTCGAGCTTTTCCGGAGCTGATAACGAATTTTTATCTTTTTTTTAATGACGTTTTAATTTAACCAGTTTGGCCGCTTTTACGTGTATATAATAAGTCGAAAGTTAAAACGTGGAAAATAATCAGTTGGGCCCCAACGCAGAAGGTTCTCAGGTGATACTACGTGATATTGCGCAAGCCACGCAGAAGTAGACGAAGTTGATTGGCTAATTGGAGCCTCGACGTGACGTGCTCAACCAGCCATTCAGTTAGGTTCGTTTTTTATCGCAAAGATTTGCAAAGGACCAAAGAACGTTCAATCAAGTACGTTAACATGTAGAGCATACCATGACCTAATACGTGCCCGTGGAAGTTCTTTTAAACTCGCGTCTCTGATAAGCGGGTGTGTCGGCGGAATGTGACGAAAAGTTTCGCGCGCGTCTTTGGTTTGTCGCGTTATAACTTTGAGACAATTCGGCGATTAACGCGCGGGCTACGTTTTTTTTTTTTTTTCCAGTTCCCCCCGAGCGCGATGTGATCAACAAGGAGCGCTTGTCAGGATCCTACCGGCTCTCGGCCTATTATCTGGCGAAGATGGTCGGCGAGTTACCGCTGACGATAACGCTGCCCGCAGTCTACCATGTGATTAGTTACCCGATGCTGGGCTTCCGCAATGTGACCGTCTTCTTCACGCTGCTCATGTTCCTGCTGCTCAACACCGTGGTCGCGCAGGTAACGCGCGCGCGCGTGTGTGTGTGTGTGTGTGTTTGTTTACTCCGGATCTGTGGCCTTCCCCGAAGCACGCACTTTGTCGCTTTACGTTATCACGCGTAAATTCATGTAAACTTTTTCATTCGGATTAAATTCAAAAATCCACTCTCTAAATTTCTTCGAGCGAAAATGCACTCGGAAAAATTGAGTGACTATTGAACGTCGCTCGAGTGACTTCTCACTTGTACATGAATTCTTTCATCACTTTCTGTAAAAATAAATAATTTTCATCCGTGCGAAGAGTAAATGTGAGCGCAATAAATAGCGATTTTGCAATAATTATCGTCAAGAGTCTCAGTAGCTGAATTAGCGGAGCAAGTGGAAGTTTATTCGAGATGACCATTTTTTTTTTTTGAGAGAGAAAGAAATAATTTGAGATAAAAATAAAAAAATCGAGAAACCTACTCAAAGATACAAAGTTACAAGAATGAATATTTGTTCTTGCAATAATAATTATTCGCTCGAAAAACGCACATTCGCTCTACGACCAGAGTCAGAAAAGTGAATTTTCACGAGTATTTTCACTACCGCTTGAAGTGAAAATATCCATATATTGCCTGAAGTGAGATTTATTTCTCGAAGAAATTTACAGAATAATTTGTAAATGAAAAGACTCAACAAGAGCTAATAATAACCGCGGCTTCTGGAAAATATGCGCGGTTTCGAAAATACAAACCGTGATCTCTCTCGTGTCTGTCATTATATATTTTGTATCTTGACATTATCGGAAATCACATATGAAACATAAGTTTATCGGGTCATCTGAGATTGGAAAAAGTCGAAACGCGCGAAGGTGTGCGTCCCAAGAGGGGGGGGGGGGTCAAAAGCTATCGACTCGGCCGTTTGATATTCGTCGTAAGCCGAACTTTATTGCACCCGGCGTCTCAATTTTGCGATGTTCCTTTTTCAGAGCGTCGGATTTTTCGTCGGCGCTTGCTGCTTAGATATGCAGGTGAGCATCACCGCGTCCGCGCTCTACACGCTGGCGACGCAGCTCTTGGGCGGATATCTGGCTACGTCGGTGCCGCCGTGGTTAGCGTGGGCCAGATACGCGAGTATGGTGCACTACGCCTATCAGAACATGCAGATTGTGGAATTCGACATCGGCGAACCCATCACGTAAGAACACACATCTTTCGTTTACTACCCACTTAGGAGAGATATGATGCGGGAATATTTTTCGGTTTATCACGCGGTTGCTATCAAATTCTGAATAAAATATACACCCATTTGTTCAAAGTTTAAAAAAGCTTTTCTTATTCCGGAAAGCAGATCAAAAGAGACGCGCGCAAAATGTATATAAGAGATTCGCAAGAAAAAGTTTTGTTACTCAAAAGATAAATTTCTTTTCTTACAAAAATATTCATCGTATCTCGAAACGCACAATGAAAAAAAAATAATAATAATAATAAAACCCAAGAATCTACACACTGATCGAGCGCACATGATCTTCTGTACGACAGATGCTCGCAGCCGAGTAAATTCGCCGAGTGCAGAAACGGCACGACGATACCCGTTTCCGCGATTCTGGAGAGTCAAGGCGGGGTCAGGGGTTCCGGACTACCAATCTGGGCGAACACGGCGGTGCTTCTGGCATTCCTGATCGTTTTCCGGACTCTGGGCTACCTTGTCCTGCGTTATTACCGCGTACCAAAATGAGCGTGCCGAGAGAAAGATAGAGAGAGAGTCGCGCGAGTAAGCGCGCAAATTTCTCCGCGCGCTTTCGCGGGATTTTATTGTCGTAGAATTATTAACCGCGCTGCGTCGCCGTAGTGTGTTGTCTCGAACTGTTGTCTTGGGAAAATATAAACGGCGACACGTACGAAATACGTTTCGTCCTCTTCGGAGAATTCTCTCGCCCTCTCCCCCAAGGCTGTCGAATGTCCTTGCGTTTTTCTATCCGGCCGGGACGGGGGGAGGGGATTCCGCGAAGAGAATTCGTGTGGGCGCGAATCGTTGTTTCACGCCGTTGTCACTTTTCCCGATTAAACGCCGCGCATCGAAAAATGTGGCTCACACAACGGGAGAGATCCGTATGAGAGAGACACTTTGCGAAAAAAAACCATATATTTACTGTACATGTTGTGAGAGAGACTTTACACCACCAATAAAGAAGCGTGTGCGTGTGAATGTGGATGGAGCGTGAGCGAACGAGACATCGTTGTTTTCTCGTTTTGCGGCAAGAAGGGTATATATAATAGTAGAGAAATTCGACGCGGTAACCGCCGCGCCGCGAAATCCGACTGAATTTTTACGATGACGATGAAACCTTTATATACACACATAGAGATATATTATATATATATATATATATATATATATATATATATATATACATATATATATATATAT